ACAACATTAGTGTACAGTTTTAGAGCGGAAGTATTTAAAAAGAAATGAACTTTTAAGTACAAGCTATAAAAATATATTTATCATTGTTATGACTATTGTTAATTATTTATTAGATTAAACTTGGTACTATTTGTTTAATTGTTTTTACCATAATATTTACTTTTAAAAATATTTAATTGAGTAGCTGCAAATATCTACACACTATTATTTATCCAAATAGTAAAAATGAAAAGGAATTTTTTAATCTTTTGTAAACGTTGATACACATAAGTTTTGATGAAAAATTTGCTTTAAAGTTTCTATGGGATTTTAATATGGGCTCTAATTGTTGATTTTAATATGTTGTAAAAAGTTGAAAAGAAAACAAACATTTCTCGGACACTAAATTTTAAAATCATCAATATGAATATTCAATATCATCAATAAAACAAATTCAAAACTAGCGGTTGAATTGGAAAATTTTTACCTATTTTTTAAATGGGGTATGTCAAAATTTGTGAAATTAAATAAACTTTTCCAAAGCGATAAAGTAGTTAGCACAAATTTGCACAGCAATTTACGACGAATATCAAAATTGCCTCGAATGTGTAATCCTTAAACCTCAAGACCTACAAACAATGTAAAAGATCGATGTCGAATGGAGGAAGCTTCAACAATACTGAATTCTATTTTTGTCTGAAGGATAAATTCTATTCTAAGTGGGTCAGATATAATATTTTTACGGTAATCCTCTACTTGATAGTTTGAGTGACATCGAATTATCTCTGTTAACTTTACCTCACTCAAATGCAAGTTGTGAAAGACAATTTTCAAAAGTAAATTTATTAAAGAAAAAGTGAAGGAACGGCGGGATATGCTTCCTAACCTCATTAACTGCTTATTCTAATTTGTTGGTGATAGTTCTGCTTCAGCCTGATCTAGTTGAGTATACTTCTATGCTATTGTTATATGACCTAGTTTGCTCGTTAGTGCTTCTTGAGCTTTAGCAACTCTGTTGTGTGAGTGTGTGTGTGTGTGTGTGTGTGTGTGTGTGTGTGTGTGTGTGTGTGTGTGTGTGTGTGTGTGTGTGTGTGTGTGTGTGTGTGGGGGGGGGGGATAATAGATCTCTTTTTAGCTTTGGGTTTTGCGTTTATATATATATATATATATATATATATATATATATATATATATATATATACATACCTGCATACACATACATGCATATACAGCACAAACGACAATATCAATCTGTAGTCATTTATAGTAGTATTATCTGTAGTAGTAATTTATTTTTTCAAGGTCCCACATAAAACTGATTTGTTTTTTTATTACTTTTTCAAAATTAAATTGAGAGATACTTTTTATTTCCAGTAAACAAGTAATTCTCTAACAATAAAACAATCAACAATTGCACAAAATTTTTATAAATTGTTGTCACTACAGTCGTTTTGGCAGAGTACCTTTCGCAAACTAAAGTTTTCAGTGTTTTATTGTTAAATATAATAAATTTGTATCAAGTAACAGTCGAATCCATTACATTGTCACATTATGGACTCATTAAGTAATTATCTCTCGTTTAATTGGTATATATATATATATATATATATATATATATATATATATATATATATATATGTATATATATATATATATATATATATATATAAGAAAAAAGAAGTACTTATGACTCGTTTGGAAAAAATATAAAACTGTTTTGGATGGGTTGGAGTCAATAAAAAGGGCTATTTGTTGACTATTTTTTACTCGAGCTTTCAATTGTGATTACAATTATTATCAAGAGCTTCTAAAAAATACAAAATATCTTACAAAGTTGAACTAGAAATAAAAATTTTTTTGTTAACTCATCAAATAAAATTAGTTTGTTATATAAAACTGCTGCTTACATAATAATTACAAAAAATATTATTAAAAAATGTCCTATTCTAATAAATGTTTCTCTGAAAAATTTTAATAGTTTCTTAACAAAAACAATTGAATTTGTAAACAAAAATTGAATAGCTACAAACCAGCCTAAATGTCATAAATAATAACTTAAAAATTTTTATTTTTGACATATTGTCAAAAATAAAATTTTGTTTAAAAAATTCTTCTTTGTTTAGTAACAAGAAAGCAGAAGATTTATTCACCATTGATAGATGCCCGAAAAAATGTAACAAATACATGGAAAATTCAAAAAGTGATATTTTACTGAATGCATATATAAATTCCATAGAAATATTATAATTATAAATTTTGCTTAGATTTTGAATTTCTGACCTTTTGTTTAAATTATTATCACTTTTGCTAATACAAACCATTTCCAAAAAAGTTCTTTTAAATTTATTACTTTCACTACATACTATTTTAATATTATCAAAATCCATAATATGGTCTTTGTCTATTACATGCAGAATTAAGAAACCATCTTGTGCTTTGGCAGAGTGCTTTGTACATATATATATATATATATATATATATATATATATATATATATATATATATATATATATATATATATATATATATATATAATATAATTTTGTATCATAGTTTTTATTATCAAACTAGATTATCGCCTAGTAATTAATAAAACACTCAGATAATCATAAAAATAATAATATAATCTGATAGAATCTAATATAATCACGCAAATGTTAGTAACAATGAACGTACATAATATTAATGATGATAAGATAATATATATATATATATATATATATATATATATATAATATATATATATATATATATACATATATATATATGTTCATGATCTGTTCAGATCGTAAATATTTCTTTTGGCCTATCTAAAAATATTTCGGACTTCAAACAAGAACGAAGAACGTAAAAAACTAATAGCGATGTCATAGTCGGTGGCCTAATTTGTCATTCAATGATATTTCGTTTTTTAAACTATTTGACTTGATTTAAACATTGAAAACATTAACACTATTCCAAAAATATTTTGCATAGTGAAGAACATTGAGATATAGTCAAATTTTTCTGGGGAGAAAAGGAATGGCAAACATTCAGAACGTTTAAAACAACAAGAAAAATGGTAAAAAACTATGAACTCACATACCTTCTCTTGTCGTTTAAAACATTCTAAACGTTTGGCATTCCTTTACTTAGGTAGCTGTAGCTTTTTACTCCGTGGATGGGTTAGTTGTTGCTCTGGAAACCTCAGTAACTTTTAACTTAAGTGCCACCAATTGGTCGCATTGCTCCAGTAATGATCCTTTTCTAAGTTAACATTCTCCTATACTTACCGATTAGTAGTTCTTCATCATCTCGATCATAATAAATTTGATCGTCTACTTGGTCTCTTGATGCCTCTTGAATACCAAAGTGCAATTCTAGTGGACCATCTATTGTCAATTCGTCTTGCTAAATGTCACACACACTGCCATTTGATCTTGGTTTTTTGTCTAATTCATTCTATTCTTTTTCGATCTCTATTACACCAAGCATGCATCGCTCCATTAAACTTTAAATGTATATATATATATATATATATATATACATTTTGGGTGACTAGTGGCGGCCGTGTCCTAGTAGCTACCTACGAGCGAACGAACGAACCGAATACTGTTAGGATCCGGGTCCTGCCAGTCGTAAGAAACGACTAATAGGTAAAATGAGAAATGGTGTGCTGTTGCCTAAGGTGATGAGATCGCAACAACAGACGCACGAAGCGATATGTCTTACATCTATGAATATAGGTACAGTAACGAGCGAACGGACAAACCGAATACTGTTAGGGGCCTAGTCCTGCCTGTCGTAAGAGGCAACTAATGGGATGAAATAAGAAGTGGTGTACTGTCTTCTAAGGTGTCGAGATCGCAACAACCGACGCACGAAGCGATATGTCTTACGTTTATGAATAAAGTGACAGTAACGTGGCCGTTGTTTGCGGCATCGGTCGTCGGTATGTGAGCTGCTAGGATAATGGCCAGTCCGTTAATCGTACTGGTTAACAGGATGCTCTCTTAGCTCGAGCTCACGAGGAAGCACTCTACTCTCATTCCATGTAACCTCTGTGAGCAGGATTACAAGCTCATAAACGTTTAGTACCATGTAGATGTGCGCTTGTAGGACGTGCCTACTTTGGAGATTAGTGGTAGAGGAGTAGGGGCATTGGTTCTTCCAAAATATAATGTATTACCTACTGAACGTTAAGAAAAACGTACATGCACTCAGGGATTGTTGGATTTTTGCGTTCAGGGGTCCCCTAGACTTTACTACTCAGGGGGAATAAGGAATCTTCGTTAAAATTCAATTATGTTGACACGGATACCTTGAGTGAGTATGGGGTATCTAGATTTACTTGAGTGGTCCTGGCGTTCCTTATCAACATGACCGATGTGCAGTGGGTCTGCACTTACGCCAGAATATCGATACTCTTAGGTTTAAGAGTATAGTTGCTCCTGATAATGCAATATAAGTAGTTATATCGCCTTTAAATGCCTGTTGCTGTCACCTTAAGGCTTGGTGCTCGGTGCAACCTATAGTAGTGTGGAACGGCGGATCCGTCTTTGAAAAACAACACTTAATCTCGTTGACTAGTCGCCCCACGACTTCTTAGTAAGATCCTAACTATGTCTCTCTATGTATGAATGTGAGGCGCTCTATAACTAAAGAGCACAACGCTTTGTGTCTAAATTGGTTACTAGGATTAAGGAATATATATCACTAGAGATATGCGCAGATATATTTAAACTCAAATGTAGGGATCGGATAAAACGGTCTACCATAACTGCTATAAATAAAAATAATTTAATAATTATTATTTTCTCTCCTTTGCGCTAGTCAAAATGTGCAAAGTAAATCTTCCAGAAAAACGTTCTGTAGCTATGATGTCTCATACGTATGTATGTAGCAGCCTATGCTTCAAGAACACAACCCTTTGTGATTTTTTGTAGGTATTGGAATTCGTAAACACTAGCGTGCATGTGTGGATTAGCCCTTTGTTATTTAATAAACATTTATTATCGAAAATGAATGTTTAAAAAACTTACCTTAGTCATTTGTTTGTAGCCCATAGGCCAATATACTTCATTATAATACTGATCGTTCGGAAAAGATTTCTCGGGAGATCTATCTCCATGTCTGATAAGCTAAAAAATATATATTTTTTATAATTTTATAATGTTAAAAAGAATATTAACAATATTAAAAGGAAATACTAGTGTGCATTCGATAACCGTTTATGTGAAAAAATTGATAATAATATTTATAAATGATTTCATAAAATATTGTTATAATCTAATGGTGATTCTGCATGAAAACTAAAGGAGACTAAATATAATTTTAGATTGTTCTGAGGCAATAGCATCTTACATAGATGCATAGATATAGATGCAGAGATAATACAATTAATATAGAAATGTACTATAGAAAGAAATAAAATGAAGATTTTTTAATGCTAGAATTTTAAATGATATCAGCTACGCAGATGTTTATATAATAATTAGGGGTATAGAGACCATTGAATTAGAAAAAATAAAAAGGTCAAACTGATTTAAGGATCTCATATAATTTTCTTCTTATATAAAAACGAAAACAGGGACGTTTGTGGGCTATTGCGGTCACTAAGACCTAGTAACTATAAATCTTAATATTCCTATACATAAAAGTATTCATCACAAGTTGGGGCGACATGTATTATGCGAAAAATTTGTAAGAGTGTGATTTAGCCATTGCTAGTACATGGATCAGACGCGTATATTATTGATAAAGATATTTCATATAAGCTTATGTTAACCTGGCCAATCTGGAGAAGATGCTTTGGTTTAACTTTACATGACAACCTTGAAGTTCTGTATATGGAGTGAGGCAGTAATCACCACCTTAAAACTGCAACAGATGCTAATAATAAAACTTAGAGATCTAGTTATCCACCTGGAAGACATTCCATTGGATTCTAAGGTCAGGCCGACAGATGCTATGCTAGTTGCTTCTTCTGTTAAAGCTGATTGAAGTTTAACCGAAACTGGAAAAAGGTTCACTCATATGAATCTAAGATAGATAAAAGGGCAGGAGTGGGAGTAACTGGGCCGAATTTCAGGCATAACTGGAAATGCTACAACTACCGGGCGGTAACTTAGGGATAAATACATAAAATAGACAATATTGCTTAATAATGTCCTAACCCAGATACTCGTAAGGCAAAAGTCTTTATTTTATCAGGCAGCTAAGATGCATTAAAGGCTCGAAAGTCGTTTACTAGCGAATCAAAAATAAATATGTATATTAGAAGTGAGGTATTATAAATAGAATCTATATAAAAATAATTAGAAAAAAATTATGAATTAAAAAGCCCAGATTATAACAAACTAAGTGTTTAGGTACAACAAATCCATAAAAATGCCGAAATCGAGTACCTAATATCTTATAAATATTTAGTTCACAGAATTGGTAGAGATTTTGAACACCATTAAAAAAAAGGGAACATATTTGGGGCACATACTCAGAACTGAGAACTAAGAGTTGTTGCAGCTGATTTTAAAGGGTAAAATCGAAAGACGAAGGTATCATACAAGACGACAAATATCCTGGATAAAAAACATTCGCGACTGAACATAGTTAAACACAGAGACGCTTTAAAAAACAATAAAAGGTAGAGCCGAATTTGCAAAGGTTATAACTAAAACCTTTATTGTTGTAGTTGGCAATAGAAGAAAAAGAATCAAATTAAAAATTAATAGATAAATAATATTAGCAAGGGTGGCTTTCAGAATTTTTTCTGAAACGTTTAGTAGTTTTTAAGTTTTTATCAGATAAAAATTGTCGCATTCACAATGTATGGTTGCATTTCTTTGATTTGCCTATATGTATTATGTTGTTAATAGAACATTAAAATAACAACACAACGTGTTTTATTATTATATATACTTTTTATTATTTTAGAGCAATAAATAAGTGTCAACGAAATAAAGTAATACAAGATCTATGGAAAGGATCAGTAGGAGAGAACAAACACTGAATTTTAAGAAAACAAAAATTATGAAGAATGCTAAAGACACAGTTTAACAAAAGCGCAACAAATTAAAAATTATCAAGAATATAATTAGGGCACTATTAAGATAGATAATAGTACCCAAATCAGAAAAGTAAAACAGGAAAAGGTAGAAGCATAAGATTGAGACAGACGGCAATAGGAAGACTTTCCTCCGCCATTAAAAACGGGAAATGCTATTCAAATTAAAAATTAAAGTATTCAATAAATGCGGATAAAAAAATAAATTAGAGTTAAATCATTGCAAAATAGAAATAAAAAGAATGGACGAGGAGCCAAACCAAAATAAGACATACATAGTTGAAATCGTTCTAAAACCAGGATGGAGATGCAATGGAGCTGCAATCAACGAAACATATAGCTTAAATATTAAAATCTGAAGATGATATAGTTAATAATATATAACTCCCTGATTTAAATATCTGTTTGTAACGTTCGACAGAAAATGGTAAAATTCACGTCGAAAGCCTTTTTCACAACGAAAATATATTATTTTCAAAACGACAATCGATGACTAAGAATAAACAAGTAGATAAAAAATTTATTTTACCAATTTTTTGGTTTACTCCTAACGAGATATTTGAAAAATTGACATACTACAAAGAAATAGTTTCAGAACAGTATCAAAAATCTCATTTACCGAAACTGTAGCTACTAGTTCTGATTGACCATCATCTGCATCACGTATCCTCTCGGGAGCAGCTGAAGATTGGCGTGAAATAAACACTATTGTAATAACGACATATTCTAAAAAATATGAAAATCTCATTACTTCAACTAAGTAATAAACTTGTGATTATTGTGCGAATACTAATAATCACCTACTAGTTCTGATTAGTATTTATATTATTGAAATAGATGTAATAACGTTTTTATTATCAATTGTTTCCAGTGGCGTGCATGAGCGCAGGGTGTGTGCATTGTGCAAGTTTTTTTAATGTTGTGTAATATTTTTATTTGTAGGTCTTACGAAAACTTAAATTTTTAAAATCGAGGTCAAGAGATAAATGAATTAAATAATTTTAAAAAATCTTTGTTTATATTTAGATATATTCGTATATATTCCTAATACTTGTAGCATAATAAGGAACCGATTCTTATGGTATTATACTTATTAGTAAAAATAGAGTGAATTTCAAATTTTCCCCCAAATTTTTAAACTTTTAAAATTTAGTGAAAATATAGATGAAATTATATACAAAATATACAATATGTATACAAAATATACAAAAGTAAATAAAATTATTTGGAAATAGATTATTTTATGATTATGGAATACAAGGTAATAAATAGCTAGTGAAATTATAAGCCAACAACATAAGTTGCCTGGGTTGGTGGATATTAAAGTAAAAAAAAAAACAAAATTACACCAACATATCTAAGGGAGCCAAAAACTAAATGATGAATGTTAAAACATGAGGAAAAATAATATTTAGGACAAAAAGGAAAGAAACAATTATTTGAAACGTGGAAGGAGATAGTAATACAATTTCAAGAAATATCGCTAGTATTATTAGATATACTACAGTTAATACACTTAAAATCCTAAAGAAAGAAATTTAACATGAAGGAGACCTGATGGGTGCTAAACAAAGTAAAAGCTTAAATTAAAGTAGAGGGAAAAACGCACAAATAGTGTCAAGAAGCTAATGTAGTCCAAATCCATGAGATCCGCTTTTTTCTTATCGGGCATACCTGGTTTTGCGCTGTATGCATCTCTCAATTCCAAATTGTTGCTTTCTTTCTTTTTATATAGCTATATATTTTAAATAACTACAGCTTTCTGAAATTGTTTGTCAGCGTGTGAATTTTTAAAAAATATAGTATCAGGTTCGCTTTTTTTAAGTTGAATCACCTTTAAACCTGCTAGTTTTACTATCTCATTACTTTCATCTTTCAGCAAAGAAAAGTTTATTTGATTGCATAAACTCTTGAAGTCAAAAAAATGGGCGAAACAGATTTCATTAACATGGAAGGGCTTGTTTTTCTTCCTTGCAGCCTTTACGGCACCAATTATTGCGTCAGATAGGGCCGGATCTTAATGGACGTTTAATTTCTCTCTCAATTTGAGAATGCGCAGAATCTCCCTTGTTTTGGGTGTGAACTTTTATCAAATATTTATGCGTTACTGAGATAAGATTTTCAATTATTTTTATTGCATATAGAAACATACAGATCATAAATTTATTTTTTTGTTGGCCTGCACAATTATCCGAATAGAAACACTACGTCCAAATTGTTGAATGTTTCTGAAACTTTCTTAAGGTATTTGTAAACACATGTACCGATTCAAACAATGTTTGTATTTTGAGAACGATTTCCGAAGTGGGAATTTAAACGTCAATAAACGTATTTTAACCTTTAATTATGGCATATTCCCATTTAAATATTAATTAAATGACCACTGTTTGTCGATGTTTCCTAAATCCCAGTAGTCTTTAAATAATTGCAAACGTCGCTCCTTTGTGATATTTGACCGACATTTGAAAGCAGATTTTTCTCTGCATGATGGTGTACGTTCTGAAATGGTTTTCTTTGCCTTTAGTATTTGATAAGATTTTACACTATTTCTCAGTTTCTTACTACATTTTTTTGGCAATTATCTTCTTAACTTAGTCTATTTTTTCCTATTTTATTTGGACTTCAATCTGGATTTGTTAACTTCTGTTGAGAGGCGCTTATATTTTATTTATCAGACGGTTCACTTTGTATTGGTATAAGGTTATTAGGTATCATTTCACAGTCTTTCCTAGGGAGCAGATTCACACTTTCACATAAAATATTGGCTTGATTTATTGTGCTAACAGATAAATCTTTTTCGTCAGAACATGAAGCATTTCTTCGATTACGATGTTTTAGTCTACATCTTCATAGTCTGGGTCTTTCACGAAGTCGTCGGTCTCTGTAAAGAAAATTATGATAAGAATATTATCAAAATTAGGTAACAAATGAAATGCTTTTGATTATATCGAATAGAATATTACTAGAATTAGGTAAAAGAAATGAAAAGCTTTTAATTACATTGAAATGAACATTAATTGAATACATGAAATTACCTTTACTGAAAGAACTACTACTTAATGAGCTGTTTGACGAGTCACTAGACGAATTACTGCTAGTCGAATCACGACTATGATTCGGAACTTTTTCTTTTGTTAACATTGAGTCTTCTACGTTTAAAGTTCCATTCTGTATGTTTATTGTTGTGCCATTATCTAAAAAACAGTACGTAAAATTTAATAATATTATATAATAGAAGATAAGAATAAAGCAGAAGATAATAGTAATAAAAGCCATCTACATCAAGCCATCAACAGGTCATCAAACCTGTTAGGCATACCCTACCTAACACAGATATTTAAATTTTACATAAGTTTTCCGTCAATCGTAGCCAGAATCGGCGATGAATGACAGCAAAACCTATCGTCTAATGGGTGCCTAAATACTTCGAAAACTTACATACCTGTACTAGTCATTAGAACGGGAATGTTCTATTTCTCGGTTGTCTTTGCAAGCTCAAGGATCCCATTAGATCGCGATTTCATCTAAAAAAATAAGTACATACTAGTTATTTATTTTAGTATGAACAATGTAACATTTAAAAATAATCCTCATAAAAATATTGTTTTTTTTTGGAAGAACGAAACATCAGTATGTAACTTGAACTTGTTTTTTGTACTGGGAAAACTTTTATCATATAAAACGTGGTATCCTTAGATAACACAAAGCAAAGTTTATATATTTTCACCAACAGTGTGATACGAAGATATATATCAATTCACACCCCACGGACATTTTTCAACAACACTATTAGACATATCACACTATAGAATAAAAAAATAATATTGAATAAATACATACCTTTGCAATTGCAATGTAATATCGTCGTGATATGACGTTCTTGTCGAAAAACTAGTGCACCTTCTTCTTCGCGTACAGAGTTTTGTCTGTTTTGTCTCATTGTTGAAACAAAGCACTCTGAAGAAAGAGATAGTGTGACGTGACATCGCAATGTAGCACCGTTCCGCTGTCTGTTTTCCTTATACATTTGCTGTTACTCACTGAATAGATACCGCGTTTTCGTAGAAAATAAAGTTTGACACGGCGGTTTTAATTATCAAATAAAAACAAATTGAGTTTTTGTACTTGTCACGTTATTGAAGCAAAGAGGCGACATATTCTAATATTAACTAATTACAATTATTTTAAAGAAAACTTTAACTTAAATATGTGTATACAACATTCTTAACTACTCTGTAGGACCTGGTGGACAATATTTCTCTTTTCCCTTCTATTTTGTGCTTTTTTTTCTAGTCCCTTACCTTCACGTGTTTAAGGTCTTCCTCCACTTTACTAATCCACCTCGTTCTGGGTCTACCTATTCTTTTGAGGCCGATTAGTTTTCTGGTTACTACTAATTTGGGCATTCTGTTTGCTGCCATTCTTTTCAGATGTCCCAACCATCTGATTCTGTGTGACTTGACGAACTTGCTAATAGTAGGTTCTTTGTATAAAGCCATTAATTCATTGTTGGTTCTTTTCTCTCAACCATCTACTGTCTTCCGTCCTCCGAATATGCGTCTCAATATTTTTCTTTCTCATCTTTTCAGAGTATCCTCTTCCATCTTATTTAATATCCATGTCTCACTGGCATATGTTACTGTAGGTCGAATTACTCTTTTATATATTCTGAGTCTACCTTGTCTAGAAACGCATTTTGAGATCAGTAGGGCTCTTAAACTACCTAACTTTTAGTATCTTTTGCTATTTTGGCTTCGAGCTCCCATTTTTTTCCATTTTTATCGAAAAATACACATTAGCGTTTTAAATTTGTTTTTATCTATATAATAATATAATATTTAATATCTATATAATAATATAAATTCTGTATAAAATTTTATTGTACGCCCCTGCGAAGGGAAATATACGTCTATCTTTTGCAAAGAAGTTTTAAAACAATCGATATATTGTAGCGTTTTAAGTTCAGGTTCTTAGAAAAAATATTGCAAGTCAGGTATTCAATTTTTCTAAAACGCAATAACTATGCAAGTAGATTCAAGGTTAAACGGGTGTGGTTTATTTTTATTTGGAGTTCGGGGGACAAACGAGCATCGAGATACGTGAGGGGAAGGATCTGCGTTTGGTTTGTGAATCTAACGAAAGATTTAGTTAAGCAGAGGCATTCGAATTGAAAGGACGTGTCACACTTCTAAAGAGAAGCCGGCAAAAATTTGTGTAATGGTTAATTAGGTTTCAAGACCAGTCAAAGGTGGTGATTTACTCTTCGTAAAATGGCATTTTAGAATAGAGTAGAAACATTAAGATTTGTGCAGTATACCGGAACATAATGGAATTTTTAAAGCAGGGCATAGGGTGTGCTACCGGCTTCATTTGTCGTCTGCTTCGTCAACTGATCGTCGTTCCATATTATAGGAATGGTTTTCCCTTGTTTCTGTTAAGAAATTGTCCAGATAGGTTCTACCCCATAGATGTAGCAAGTTTTTTCAAAAGTTAAGTGTGAAATATGTTAAATTGAGGTAACATTAAATATATTAATTTTCCAAGTAAATAGACATTTTCCATCAATAATTGCTTTCTTTTAAAATTTAAGAATATATAATAATTAAAATTATATTTTATACTAGGGCGTGGTTTAAACTGTCGTAATTTTATTCTGTATTAAAATGTTGTGTTGACATATGACAGTTGGCTTTAATCTGTTTGTTGTTGTAAAAAATTTTAATTTGATTATATAGAAAAGATGATTTATAGAAAAGGTTAATTTTGACGATATTTTCATCTACAAGGATATCCTTAATTT